AACCTGGTTGATTCTATGATTCTTAATCTAGTTAGAGTCTTTGTCTTCAACCTGTGTGGTAATGGCCATATTTTAAGATAATTGAGGCTTCAGTTTTTTCAGTTGACTATGTTGAAGTCTTTAGCAAAAGGACCAGAGGATCTCAGTCAGTCATTCATCTTCAGGAGCAGAAGTTAAAACAATCTCCTCTTCCCCTCCCACCCCCAAATACAGATCGAAAGATAACAGATAGTTTTGATTTGAGATAGCTTCCTAGTTGCCCATCGCACACATTAGTTTTGGAATTTAGTGGTGCTACTAGCTAAAGGCATAAGAGAAAGTGATCTTGGTGTACATGTGGTATCAGCTCATTTCATACAACATCAGGAGCTGCAGCAGCAGGACTTCTTAATAGTTATTTTATTATCTGATTCAGAGCAAGCTAGGAAGAATTTGTGTGTACCTAGGTAAGTAAATTAACTGCAGTTTTGTTTTATAGTTTTCATATAGGAGAAATTCTAAACACTTTCACTGTCACAGAATGTGTGAGTTTTTTTCAGCAGGGATGCAGCAGCTTGTGCTTTACTCGGCTCATTGCATTTTTTCCACGTGTTATTTCAAGAATGTAGTCATTCCCCTGATGCTTAAGTGCCCAAAGAACTACAGGATTAATGCTGATACTAAGTCAGAAGTTAGTGTTGTAGATATAATTATTTATCCATCCTCTGGCAGTATCTCCCTGAATCTCTTTTAACTGAACAAAAGTAGAAGGGCAAGAGGGGAAGTAATTTTAAAAGCTTATGCAATATTAAAGTAAGTTGACTTAAAAACAGCACCAGAAAAAAAAAAATCAATAATCTCTCCCGAAACACCTCAAAGGGAAGTTGCCCAAGATGCTTTTTGCGTGAAACTAATTAAAATCCACAAAGGAAGTTTGATGAATAGGTTCTGTGCTAAAGCTGTGGCAGCTATTCTGAAATTCCAAAGTTGGATCTCTGAACATAAATACACGTGTAACAGTACCTTGTGTGTGACTGACTTAGTGTATGATTTTATAGCAGTCTCAGCTATTCAATGTAAATTAGCTCTTAGATTCTAGTAGTTCCCAGTTTTAAAATAATTAGAATCACTCTGCCTTAGCATAATAAGCATTTCACTGTAAGACAGCTTTCTGGAACATTTTTAGTACCTCTTTAGCTTTTTCAAAAGTTTTCCTGGTGGCTAGATACTGTGCTGAAAGATTGTCATATATTGCTTTCACAGTGTTCTTGCACCACCAGTCTTGACATTCAGAAATACTTTAATTGGTGTGTGATGACTCCTCTGAATTTACTAATGCTTTTGCATAATATAATTTTGATCTCTGACAAGGTTTGAAAATAAAATTGCTTTATCTAATGCTAACTAAACAAAATCAGGGGGGGTTAATGTGAATAAATTTATCCTTTTTAAATCAAAATTATTTTTAAATCTTTTTAGGCTACAACTGTAACACTTGTTAAGCTGCTTCATAGTTTGTTACGTTCTTTGCTCATTAAATTGTGTTAAATCAACTTGATTGCATTAGTGGCACACTGATCTAACCTGAGCCACTTTGGGTTTGCTATTGGAAAGGTTTATTAAAATTAGAGTAAAAAAAAACCAAAAAATGGGTTGTGATGTGTGGGTTTTTTGGTTGGGTGTTGGTGTTTGGTTTCTTGGTTTGGTTTTTTTTTTGTTTGGTTTTTTGTTTGTTTGTTTTGGATTTTTTGGTTTTGTTTTTTTTTTTTGTTTGGCTGGTGGTTATTTTGTCTATTTTTTTCTTTGTTACCAAAAGGATGGTTCAGCAATATATAATGAGGAAAAATTGTTCTCAACGATGGTGTATTTAATCTCCTGTATCTCACTGCATGGGAATTTTATATAACACACATTTGCAAGGTATTTTGCTGCCCTCTCTTGGCAGAGTATTTGTATTGTAAGGAAAGTGCTCAACTTTGTTCATTTCAAAAAAATTCTGGTTTTATTCCTTTCATTTCCTGAAGAAATGGAATGTTAAATACTGAGTCTCTCAATATTTATTAAATAATAAGTGCTTTTTTTATGCATGGCCTGTGTAGATGAAAGTGGTTATCTCACTGCCTTTCATCTATATCTTACTAGATAATCAATCACCTTCTCAGCCAAGGCAAACTCCTGGAATATTTCCCTCAGCTACTCCTCCATCCTCTGGGCATTCTTTGTTTCAACAGCTTCTTGTGCATGATGCAATTTCTGTTTTCGAAACAACTGCCCACGGTGGTTGTTTATTTTTTTTCCTGTGGGTTTTTTCCTACTTTCTTTGAATTACTTTGGCAAGGAGTTCCATAGCTTGTTTGCTTGATGTGCAGAGATGCTCTTTTGTTTTTTGGGTTTTTTTGAGCTTAGCTTTTATTAGTTGCTTCGAATCTTTCATCTCAGCTGTTGTAATATAATGCCCTCATCACTCAGGCTTTTGTAGAGCTCTAATTGTCTTTCCCAGAGTGCAGAATTCCAGCTTAACTATTTTTAAATGGAAAGTTTGGTACATCTGATTGTAGGGTTATTGTTCTTTGAATCTTTTCAGTTCTGCTGTTCTCCCCCTTCTGAGGTGGAAACAGACGCAGGGTTTGTGAAGCAGAATTGTGCCATTTACTAGTCTGTGATCCTTTCCTGATTGTTTATGTTTTTGAACAGAACACATCAATGAATAGATGTTGTCATAGAAGTGTCAGTCATAACCCTAATATCTCAATCCTGAGTCAATAGTCAACTCAAAGTCCAGCATTTTGTATGTGATTTTGGCAGATTTCCCCTCTCTCTCCCCTGCTTCACTTCAGTTATATCTGTCAAGCTTTATTGGCCAGTTTTATTCCCAGGTTAGTTGGAATTACAAGATCCATCAGTAGTTCTTTGTAATCAACCACCATCCTTGCTGTCCTAAATAATATTAAGGAGCTTAATTGAAGAGCACCTCAATGTTTCTTTTCCCGGTTGCGTATGAAAATACGAAATGGCACAGCTCTTGGTATGGCTTATTGCAGAATTGCCTTGGTGATGCTGCTCTTGTGTGAGAAGTGACCTATATTGAGGTTCTATTTCTGTAAGGAAATGAAGAACTGAAGCAAAAGAAATTTTTTGGCAGTTGCTTGATGGGTTGTTAAACCCAGTGAGTTGATACCTTCTAGTATTATAAACTAAATATAATGTGAAATGTTTATAACCTCAAATGCCGTATCTACGTTTTAGTTTTAGGATTAACAGAGTGTACATTTTGACATAGAATATGCTGGTTTCTGGCAAATGAATGAAAAAGAATGAAAAAAAACACAGCTGCTTTACAGTCTTTCCGTGTTGACTTCTGCTGTGAATAGCCTTTTGGCTACAAACATGTGTGCATCCACCTCTCCTTTACACAAAAAAAAGAGCCTAAGGATGACCAAGCAATTATGAAATTTCAATATGTATAATTTATTTTTGTTTATAAAGGAAAAACATTGGTCTGAAAAGTGGATGGACTTTGGTAGTAATAATTCATGGACTGAGGTTTTCACTTATGCCAGTATTTTCTGGGCATGGAAAGGAGTGAAACAGCTCAAGTTCCTTCATTTTCAGAATTCAGTTTATATGACTCTACACATACAGTGTAACATTGCCAATGATGTGTCCAAATAAAAAGGTGTCAAAATTCAGGTTTCATTTTTGCTTTATGGTTAAAAGCTGGCTGTTTTGTGTTTGGTGAGAAGCTATCTTCAGTTTGCATCTGAAGCGTGGCAGAAAAAATGGCTATGAGCTTTATATACACGACTTCTTGTTTTGTTTTAAAACAAGAATTCAGGTAGAGAACGATGATAATATTGTAACATTTTCAGTGCTCCATACTGACAGGAACATACTGGCCACAGCTGGGAGGAGGATGTGCCTAATTTTTCTTTCAGAGTGAATTCACTTAAGAGATGGAAAAGCTTTGAAAATAAAAAAAGCTATATTTTAGCCAACTAGAAATATTAATTTTTTAATTTTATCTAAACTAAAGAAAATGTAAAGTTGAGGAAAAAGAAGCAAAAAGGTTGTTTAAAGCTTTTCCCACTATATTTTTGCAGGAAGGTCCTTTCAGCCAACTCAATGGCTTTGACAGAGTATTTTGCACAATTCCCTGTTACCCTTAGGAAGTTCTGTATATTTCCTCTGCCTTACTTTTCATGTGTTTTCCTCCTGTCCATGTCTTCCCCTCCTCTGCTTTCCTTTACAAAGACTCCCATGAGCTGGAAACCCTTCCAGCTCCCTGCAGTGTATCCTTGGCTGATGCACCCTGGATTTTTTTGGACCATTGTCCAGCTTTCTCCCCTGACTTCATGGTGTTCTCGTCTTGATGCTGTTTAAGTTGTATGTGTGTAGTACTATACAGGTGAAGATGGACACGTGCATTTTTGATACTTCTGTAAAATTTGGATAAATGCTAGCTGACTAACTCATCTGGGAGTGGTTTCTTTAATGAGTATTTGTGTTACTGCTGTTTCACTGTACTTTTATGCACCGCTTTTAGTATAAAATACCATGCAAAGAACAAATGTAATTCCATATCCCAAACTGGGAAGATTGTATCAGTTAGTAAATTAGCAGCAGCAGCTTTCTGTTCTTACCTCTTGAAAGCTGTCCCTCAGAATGTTCAGTTATTTAAGAGGAAATTGGATATGTGGTTCCTTTTACTGTAAACATAATAAAACTATTATCCAGCTCAGAAAAAATGACATGTAGAATTCAGAATTTTATGGAGGTACGCATGCTGTGCTTTTGTTCTCACTGGTGCAAAGATTGTTGATTCTTTTCTCCTCTTCTCCTCTGAACAGTTGCTTGATATTTTTGGTTTTCGCTTCGCAGCTCAGTCTTTCTCCTTTTTTCACGATTGTAGACAGCTGCAAGAGCAACAGAGGCAGAAGGAGCTGGAACGGGAGAGGTTGGATCGTGAACGAATGGAACGGGAGAGGCTGGAGAGAGAGAGGCTCGAGAGGGAAAGACTTGAAAGAGAGCGCCTAGAGCAGGAGCAACTGGAGAGAGAACGGCAAGAAAGGGAACGTCAAGAGCGCCTAGAAAGGGAGAGACAAGAGAAGGAGAGGCAGGATCGAGAAAGACTTGAACGACTTGAACGGGAAAGGCAAGAAAGAGAACGGCAAGAACAGTTGGAAAGGGAACAATTGGAATGGGAAAGAGAGAGAAGAATTTCAAATGCTGGTAAGAATTTCAAAACCTGAGCCTATTCAACTACCAGACTACTCTTTATGTGTTTGGGTGATGGACTGTGAGAGAAGCAACAAAGGGCAGTGAGTACAGTTGTGTAACAACAGTTAGCATTTCAGGCTTCTATTTGCTGGAATTCCTTCCTTTTTTATGGCAAGAAGTCTAAGATATTTGGCTTTCCTGTCATAATTTTCCATTAACTCTGAAATAATTTTATTTTGCACTATTTGCTCACTCCGTTGCCATATTCTCTGATAGCTTGTAGGACTTGAATCACATTGGGCACCTCCAACATTGGTTAAATTGTGATGATTTAAACTTTCTGAAGACCTTCTCATTGTTTGCTCTGTTCAACAAGATGTATTCTTATTGCATAATTTGGAAAAATCCCTAAACATATCAGGTTTAGTATGTTAACATATAAGGTATGTATCTATATAAGGCAAAATAGTAGTGTGAGAAATGCTTTTCAGTATAAAGTCTTGCTTAATTTATCATTGTAGTAACATTTCAGTGAAATTTTTTGTATGTGTTGTAGATAAGATATGCACTGCTTGTGGAAATGTATCCAGTGATAACTGAAAGCTTTCTCATTTTGGTAATGTAATGGAATCTTAGTTAAGCAGTTGGTTGTTCTTTAGTAACAAAGTCAATAACATAAGTCAGCTCATGGCAAAATTCAAGGAATACTGTATAAGAGGTGGTCACTGTAGACCAGGAGATTTTACTGGTAGTTTTATTCCCAGGACTTTCAAGTTTGTGGTAGAGCTTTTTCTGGGGAATAGAAAAATGATACTTGCTGCCTATGGTAGGAGTTTTGTTAGTGGAGTTGTAACAAATGTTAAGATCGCTACACTTGCTTGCACTATGCAACCAAACAAGAAGATAAAAGCTGATAAAAGACTGGTTACTCAGACCTATATCTAATCCATCTCACAGATGAGATTTGAGAAAACTTTCTCTAGAATTTACTTGTGAATTCAAATTTTGGCACAAAAATAGACGGTGAAATTTAAAATCAGCTGTTGATAATATGTAAAACTTTCCTAACAGTATTTTCACTTGTGCCTAATCCTCTGGTACTAACTGTAGTCTACATTTATACATTTTGTTTGAATGCTGGTTTTGTTGCTTCATTAGCTCCCTTTTTCTCTTTCTCCGTTTTTTATCCTGCCTTTGCTGCTTTCCATCTTCTGTCCAGCTCCATCTTTCGACAACTCCCCGTATAGCACTCCACTTCCTGAATACTCCAGTTGCCAGCCTCCTTCAGCACCTCCTCCATCATATGCAAAAGCAGTCTCAGCACCAATGTCAGAGGCCACACCGGAGTACGCTGTAGTGACTTCTGCACCACCGACTTCCACTCCCCCTACACCGCCTCTAAGGCACTCTGCATCACGTTTTGCTACATCTTTAGGCTCAGCTTTCCACCCTGTTCTCCCCCATTATGCTACGGTTCCTCGTCCGCTGAACAAAAGTTCTCGGCCTTCTTCTCCTGTCAATGCCGTGGCGACTTTGCCTCCAAACACAAAGCCTGTTGCCTGGTCTGCGCCCAGTTTTGCCCCCCTTCCCCCATCTCCTCCAGTAATGATAAGCAGTCCACCAGGCAAAGCTACTGGTCCGAGACCTGTCCTCCCAGTGTCGGCTTCTAATCCAGTGACCCAAATGTCCACGTCTCCCACGGCTCCTAACGGGCTTCCTGAAAACCTGGCTTATCCGGTTCCTTCACCTTCTACCTCAAGTCCAACACCGCCTCCGCCACCTCCTCCCCCCCCGCTGTCTTCCTTTCCACCTCTGTCACTCTCTGGACCTCAAGCTTCTCCTTCTCCCAACTCCCCGAATGCCTCGACTCCCGCATCCAAGCCTAGTGTTCTCCCTTCTCCCTCTGCAGCTACCCCTGCCTCTGTTGAGAACTCTCTAAACTCTGTGCTGGGAGACTCCTCTGCTTCTGAGCCAGTCTTGCAGGCAGCCTCTCAGCCGATTGAACCTACGACCCAGCAGGGTAAGGCTTTCTGTTATTGCTACTAATGCACTAAGCAGGAACGCAGTCAAAACCAATTGCTATCAAAGCCCCTAACCGCCCTGAAGAATTAATACAATGCTTCCAAAGTTGCAGTGATTTAATACCACAGCGAAATACCGTTTGGAGAACTGGGGTAAAGGAAACTCTAAAGCTCTGTGCATAAGAGCCAGTGTTCTGTGGCTTGTCGTAAGTAAAATTCTGATTTTCTTAAGCTCTCACCTGTGGACAACAGAACTTGTCAAATGCTTGGTAAATTTTGCACTGCTAGTTTATTTGGAATGAGGTGTTAACAGGCAGCATCATTATTTTCCTAATGGCAGCCCACATAGAAGAACATATGTGCAACTTTGGACATGTAAATGGCCTTAAGTGAGGAGTAATTCAGATTTAGAAAGTAGTATGTAACACCTACAGCATTTCTTTCTGGACAGTGGTTGTGTTTTGATACATGGTTCTATGTGCAGATATATATAGACAGGTCTTCCTGTGATATTCTACCAGTGTAGCTAAAAAGATGTTAGACAGAAAGTTTGCTTAAGCAGGAGACAGTCTTAATGTACACTCCATCAATATGATGGAAAAGGGTTATACGTGGGTGTCTTTGTTAACCTGAATTCTGCTTTTATATTGATTTAATAGATACAGGTTGATTTAATAGATTTAGGCCTTTGTACATAACTCTGCAGTAGCTCAGCTAAAGGTGTGGGCAGAGGGGCTCCTGAGGGATAAGCTGCCTGTGGCTTCATCACACACAAGCCGTGCAGAGTAGGTCCTGTTTATAGCCTTTTGTCTTAAACAAAGGTGTGAGCTACTTTGGGATGGAGTGGAAACAGGGTGAACAGCCTCACTTGTAGTGTAGAATAAAAGTGTGCACTTGGATGGTGAGTGATGCCAAAGAGAGTTTAGAAGGCTTTTAAACTGATGCAGTGGTTAGCAAAGTAGGAAACCAGGAAGACTCGTATATGAAATTCTTGCCTTTAGGGATTGCTTTTTCAAAAGACTTTGTATTGCACATCAGTGTGAATTTAAAGCATTAAAAAAATAATAGATAAAAAATAAGAGCTTGTTCCCAACAGCTTGAAATATGTCAGTTTTCTAGCTCACTAATTAGTGTTTGTATTAAATTATTAAAGTGGAGTAGTGGAATGTTTTTTAGAGGAAAGATGTATCTATAGTTTACAAATCAGCATTGGTACTCAAACAGTTCGAGGGTTCAGATGTTTGGGTGATGTGTTAAATGCTTGTTAGTACAACAAAACGTCACTTTGTGTTTAGCACCATGTGAACACACACCGTCTTAGTCCTATGTGGTATGATGCTCTCATGCCTTACTTGACTCTCTTAAAAATCTTTGCCTGTTTCCTGGTGTAAAATTCTTCTTGGTTGCAGCACAGAATCTGACTGGATGGGTTTCATAATTAAATCTCAATGAAACTGTCTGATCTCTCATAGCATACTACATCATATTTTCAGTGCATTGAATAAGAATGTTTCTCTCCTGCT